CCGCCACCATTGTTGCCATTGTTATTCAGTTGTGCCAACTGCTTAAAGAGTGATGAGTTGACAAAGCGAGGATATGAGTCCCTGTGCATGAGCGTGTAGATTTGGAGTTGAGCCTCATCAAACGTATTAGGTTTTGGATCAGCCATATTGCGATTCACAATCTCTCGCACCCTCGAGTCCAGACTCACCTACAACATATAGCAACTGATTTTATCAAGCGTGGTGTCTCATGCATCACATGATTCATTCTAAAATACTGAGCCTGGAGGATGGGATGTAGTACGAAAACAGCACCATGATACAGGCTACTGCTTTGTATTCAGTTGTCATGAGCTCATGATTCACAATAATCTCAACATAAATTATCTTCAGAGGAAAAGGACATAAGTATACGTACCACAGTATGAAGGCATATATATGGCAAGGAGTCAGTCATCTCAGACATATAACATCAAACAACTAGAAGCAGGTAAGTGTTCTCACAGTTCTCTTGGTGAAGACAGATGGTTCAAAATGGAAGACAAATGAGACATTGGAAAGAGGATTCTGAGGCTGATATAGGCATAAAAATGCCTAATCCATGAAGACATGAAAAAGATGATAATACTGTAAAAATGTTTTCATGTCTGCCATTGGTAGAATAACCTGCTGCCAATCTCACACATTTCAACTGACACTAATCTTCTCTCATCAGAAATTTTTATGCTTCATGCTTCATTGGCACATAGAAATTTTAGTCCTGTATCTCTCACCCACTGTTCTGGAGTTCATAGGTACGGACGACGCAACTACAGCTCACCGCAGACCAGCTACGGCCACCGGACCACCAGATAAATAGCTAAGTGCAGAGTCTATTCCTATGAATAACAACATTTGGTGCAGTGTCGCTTAAAATACTTTTTGTCAAATGTCCTATTCATTATTTATTTTCTAAATCAAGTTTGAGTCATTTAATTAAATGAATTGATTTCCCTGGTGCCACTGATGATGACCTTTTGAGGTTGAAACGCGTATGGCAATAGTGTCTTCTTTATAGTGTTAATAGTTGTTTGTGTGCTTATTTATATTTTAGCCCTGTATGTTATTAATTTAAGCTATCAGATGTCTTCAGATAAACAATGGTACAAGAATTTGGTTCATTATACCTAGCATGTCTCAAAACAATCATAAATATTTTTTAGAAATATTATTACTGCTATGGGACAGTTGTGTTAAGTTGTTATAATGATTAAAATTTCTTTAACTATCCACATTGTGTGTGTAATGTATCTATAATTTACTATGAGAATATTTTCAAAATTTGTTCTCTCGCTTTTTAAGCATGTCTTTTGTTCTTTAAATCTCCTATCTACATATTTTTCTCTATTTATGTATCAACATATATATATCATATTTCAAGAGGTAGTACAACTATTGTATAGATATGAAAAATACTATGATCAATTATAATTAATATATCTAAATAATTATATGTAGAGAGAATGAAATTAAATATTATGAATACTCAATCTTCACAAGATCATAATACCAGTACAAAAAGCATACCATGATACCACTGATTAATGTTTTAATCAACAACACAAATTATTTAAAACTGCTGCTAAATTCTACTTTTTAATAATGGACTCCATCCATCATTTACTATTCTAAAACTAGACCACTATGATAGAGGATCTGGCTCTGCTGCCATCTTCAGATGAAAACATCTATTCTGGTTAGTCCAATGGAAGGGGCTAACCCTCTACTGCTATCCAACAAATTATTATCTGATAATAAACAGTATTATTTTAATTATTACCTCTTTGGGTGAAAGTATTGAGATATAGTCCTCATATATATATCTGGCTTTCTCTTCCACAACCCTGTATGTTATTAATTTAAGCTATCAGATGTCTTCAGATAAACAATGGTACAAGAATTTGGTTCATTATACCTAGCATGTCTCAAAACAATCATAAATATTTTTTAGAAATATTATTACTGCTATGGGACAGTTGTGTTAAGTTGTTATAATGATTAAAATTTCTTTAACTATCCACATTGTGTGTGTAATGTATCTATAATTTACTATGAGAATATTTTCAAAATTTGTTCTCTCGCTTTTTAAGCATGTCTTTTGTTCTTTAAATCTCCTATCTACATATTTTTCTCTATTTATGTATCAACATATATATATCATATTTCAAGAGGTAGTACAACTATTGTATAGATATGAAAAATACTATGATCAATTATAATTAATATATCTAAATAATTATATGTAGAGAGAATGAAATTAAATATTATGAATACTCAATCTTCACAAGATCATAATACCAGTACAAAAAGCATACCATGATACCACTGATTAATGTTTTAATCAACAACACAAATTATTTAAAACTGCTGCTAAATTCTACTTTTTAATAATGGACTCCATCCATCATTTACTATTCTAAAACTAGACCACTATGATAGAGGATCTGGCTCTGCTGCCATCTTCAGATGAAAACATCTATTCTGGTTAGTCCAATGGAAGGGGCTAACCCTCTACTGCTATCCAACAAATTATTATCTGATAATAAACAGTATTATTTTAATTATTACCTCTTTGGGTGAAAGTATTGAGATATAGTCCTCATATATATATCTGGCTTTCTCTTCCACAACATCTGGATTAGTCTCCTTTTTTAGCTCCTCACAAGCAAGCCAAAAGAGAATATTTTCCTCACTGTATTCGCAGCGCAGGAAATCTCGGAACACTTTCCTGCCAGCTGTAGACAAAAGAGGTACTGCATTAATGATATGTAATAAAATCAGTTCTACAAATATTGTATTATTAATGCCATATTTAGGTAATGAAAATGTATAAATTAATAACAAGATGTAGTTTAGCTGACAAGTTAGCATGCTAAGTTTGTAAGCCACTGTTCATGGGACTGAATCCCATTTACAAGAGATGACAAAATACTTTTGAAATAATTGTGATATGCTTCTAGTCGCACCAATAATTATTGGTATCACTTCTGTCTTCACATTCCACATTTCAATCAGCAGATCTTTGTATTTTGGTATTATTTCTGCTCGGTAATAAACATGTTTGTTTTTTGAAGATTGTTTTGTTTTGTTTTGTTGTGCCGTGTAGTCTGGTAGAAGTTTACTGACATTTCAGAGGTCTTTGCTGTCTACACCATCAGGCAACTGCCCTGATGATGGAGGCAGCAAGGACTGCTGTGAAAACCTCAAATCCTATTATGTTAGTTTTCTTATCAGGTTTATGGCATGTTATGGTTCTGTCTGTTGTAATTTCTTGGTTTCGAGGTACAGTAACTTGATTATTTTGACTTGTCCATCTGGTTTTGGTACATATTTATACCACTTGTTCACAGGCACGTAGTTGTGTGCTCATCATCATTATAGGGAAAAACCTAATACATATAGCTTCTGAGTAAGTAATTAAAACGAAGTTGATGGATTATATCTGGGGAGGATGGATGAAAGATATATCCGGCAATGCCCAAAAAGTGGTTACCACATGACTTGAAGGCCAAGACTAAGCGTAAATATATGATGATAAATATTCATTAGCTATAAACTAGATTAGGTAAAATATTGTAAGAGTGTGTGCAGAACCAATAAACTTTTTGTGTTATTTTAGAAATAATTATAAAAGTATTTACTACTGTGTATCACTTTTATTATCCATTTATTCAAAAAAATTTCCTGTGATATCATTAACTTTGTAGCAGTCATCTTCATGGCTTTAAAAGACAGCTATTATTTAATAACGTATTTTATATTAACATGATTCATTGCAATAATAAGTGCATTTCACTAATGTAATGTTAATAAAATTGCAATTACATAAGGAAACCATCTACACTTACTACAGAATCAAATTATTAAAATACATGATAGTTACAGCTATAAAATGCTGTGTACACAAATCTGCATTAGATACATGGTGAACATGTTGCTTGTATTGCACCCATTCATAGTATGATGCAATATAAAGTTAATGATGTACAGAAAAATTGTGTTTAGACAGTTTATAAAGTGATCCAGATTATCGAAACAGGATCCTTACAAACACATAATATACAACATATTAACACACATATTAATAGGAAATAAATACAATTTCTGGAAGGCTGATTCCAAAAATATCCTTATATCCATAAACGTTTGGTTATCTACATGAATGTATTTTCACCAAAAATACAGAAAATGTAATCATTTAATATACTGCTTGTGTATATCTTCACCATGGGTTAGTAGTGTAGACATGAAGACAAGCAGGATAGCCCATAAGAAAATAAAATTTTAAATAAGTGAAGCCATTATCAGAGTATATGGATCCAATATTGATAACAGTATAACGTAATACAGATATCTTACCAGAATTCCTCATGAGTTTATCAAATGATTTGCCCCAACTTCGGATTTCTTCCAACGTTGGCCTGTGGGGGGGCGGGGGAAGAAAAAACAGAGAACTATAAGACATTACAAATTTCAGCACAATGGTGAATACCCAATTATACCAAATTATTGCCCTTCTATGTTACAACTGCTTCCTTACAAATCCATCCAGATTCAACATTATGTTGTCTTTAGTCTACACCTCGACCAATGCACCGCAATAATTGCAATTTATACAAGTAACAAATAAATCGATCATAACCCACAATCATTCTAAAGCTGTGTGAAGTAAAACTGCAGAAACAAAGCTGGTCACAAGAATAAAAAATAAAGTGTGCCCTCTCTATGTGAATATAATTAAATGAATTTAATTAGGAATAGGAAATGAGGAATCTAATTTCTGGAGAGCCAATAATAACTTTAATTGAAATCCTGATCAGCGTTTTTCTTTGTAAGTCAAACATTCTGACAGAACATTAATTCGACTGTGAAAACTCAAGCTACAAGACATTTGTTGTTTAAATTACTTTTATTGTAAAGAAAAGCAATTTGGTATTGTAAACCAACCACCAGTCTGACTTCTATAAACCAAATGTCATTAAGAAACTCGAAAACACGATTCCATTAACTTTCCTCCCTTTAACATTACTCTATGCAGCAATGATGTAACTTCCACATTTTCTCATTAAATTATGACGGGGTCTTCAATGACTTTAAGAACATTTGCGTATACGTTCCAAAATCTGAAGTTACTCTTTGATTACTTCCGTGTTTTCCGTAAAACAATTCACATGTTCAGTAGGACGTTTAATATGTGTACGAGTTGCTTACAGACTGGAATGAGGCAGACCATATTTTCACAGATGGATGAGAACATTCACCTTCCCAACAATGTTTACACTGGAAGAATGACAATTATGTCAGAAAAGTCGCAGCGTTCTCGAACATTTTAAAGCCAAATGGTAATTATATGTATCGACTGCTTTAACAATCAGTAATGCTGCATTTTGTAAGGACGGGTTTTGAATAATTCTAGTTGTAAACAGGGATTATTTCCTTCAACAGCATCAATAAAATTATCTCTGTAATTGCGAAGTGTTGTGTTTTCTTCGAGGTACGGACTAAATTCTTATTATTTAGACGAACTTCAACTTTAAAGGATAAATGACGCTTTTAATAGCTTAGGTCCTAGAGTCGAACGACAGGCTGGTTCATCAGTGAATACTGAATTTGACAGGATGTTTCAGAAAGCGGTTGGGGTTTGGTTTGAATCCAAACCTCCTTAAAACCAGATACGAATGCTAGGCACTCAGCCGCCATGTTGGGAAAAATCTTGCCATGGAGAAGAGCAGTAATAATATATCACTATTGCCCTACGAGGAGAACATAGACTACACGATGGATTGAAGTTGTTGCTGAAAAAAATTGGGTCCAAAAGAGACTGGAACAGGAGGAGGGAAAATATTTCACAATGAAGAATTGAATGATTTGCACTCTTCACCAAATATATGAGTGACCAAACCAAGAAGGGTGGGACTGGCGGGGTATAGAGCACGCACGGGAACGATAAGAAATGTGCATAAAGTTTTGGTCAGCATAACTGAAGGGTAGAACCGTTTGGGAGATTTATTTGTAGAAGGGCGAATAATACTAAAACGGATATTAAAGAAACAAGACGATAGTGATGACTGGATTTATGTGGCTCAGGAAAGGATTCAGTAGCGAACTATTACGAACTCGATAATGAATCTTCGAGTTCTGTAAAAGGTGGGATATATCTTCACTTGTTGAGTGACTATTGGCTTCTTAAGAAGGGGTCTGCACCATATAGCTAGTTCGCCTTACAGCAGTGTTTAGTTTACATGCGAGGCACCGACACGATAGAAGGTAGGCTGAATCACGACGCGAACTCTTGTCATGGCGATGAAAATAAGTTTATTTTAATAGCGTATGAAGTAGGGCGCCGCACGGTTTAAGGCTGGCACAGTCTTTAGCTGAACGAACATAATAGTATCGTTCATTCTGTTGATATGTTCACTGCTTCGACCCGCTTGATTATCACGTTAATATTCTCTTGTTAAAAACGTTGACCACCCATATTGTAACTGATAACACTGTCAATATACAGGTTGACATTTCCAAATTTTCCTCAGACGAATGCTGTAGTAGCGCATTCTTCAAAATGAGTTCCACATATTTATCCTCATTCAGACTCCGGCAAACGCAACCGAGAATGCACTTCCTCTGCCTCCTTGATTTTACCAGAAGACCAAGCTTAGAAACGCTGTAGACCTAATTTCTGCTCCAGACAACGGAGCCATGTTCTCTGAACACTCTTACAACATAAAACACAACAATTTGAATAAATATTGTTTTAATAAAATTATATTAATATGGAACAATTAGTCTTTTCAGTACCAGGTCGGATAATGAGCTTCTCGTGGAATATTAAGTCCTTATATATTAAATATAACACGAAGTACATACGCGTACTTACAGGTGTTTCACAAAACATATACCAAAAGTCGGGTGGTTATTCACTGGCCTATTTTCAGTCAAAAATGATATATCGACACGGATCGAAATCTCAGTCATTGCGTAGTTATGATAGACAGAAATTATTTTAACCGAATAAATGAATAGGCTACATAGGAATGACACTCTACTAACGTTCAACGTACATTGTGACATACGTGCTATTGCTGTCAGAAATCACCTACAACGGCTATGCGAAAGTGGGCTCATTTTAAAACGGCACGTGTTGCAAATTATTTGAATACTTAGCGGAAAACAATTCGCTGATAATCCTTAACTGTGCTAGTTAATTTAAAGGCTAGTGTAAAAATACTCTAAAAAGACAAGAGGAACACAAGAACAGATGCACAACGATAAAAGATTTATCATGCAACCTCATAACAGCTGAGATTTCGACCCATATTAGTATAAATTTGTTTCATTCAAAATAATCCTATAAATAACCATCCTATGTTCGGGAGGCATTCGTGGAACACTCCGTACATATGATTTTGTGTCATTTGTATAGACCACAATCTATATGGGATACAATGTTTGTGGCCAACAGACTTTTCATCCCTCAGAACCAGAACGGATTTCCGCCTGAGCCATGTGGAATGCGTGTTGAGACGTATCTACTTTGCGTCAGAATGTTGTGTCTCCTATCATTCAGTCTGCCATCTTCACCGTCTAGTCACTACAATCAACAACAAACCGTTGAGTGGTTTCCGTTCTTGAGGCTTCTTTAAATACATTTTCAATTCCCACACCTTAAAATATACACCAGTGTTTTATAAATGTAATGAAATTTTCAAACTGTCAACTTATTTACCCTGAAGCTTGCTTTTAATAAATTGTCAGCAATCTGGACGAATTCATTTATAGAACACACTAACTGAAGGCCAAATGCAAGAATTCGAAAGCTGGTGTTTACGGAAAAGGCTGATGCAAAAACCTGGGAAGTCCAATTGTATATTTTTAGTGCGTAACCCGGTAGTTTCCACTCGTACATATAAATCATATAATTGTAGGCAAATATGCATTCAAAAGCATCGGCCGCATATTATTGGAATGTCTTAATGATCACTTAAAATCAGATTTTGATGGAGCGACATCAGACGTAACTAAGATTAACCGGCAGTTAGGAAAAAAATTATATGTTCAAATTTGCAAACACGTGCACTAGTAGAAGAGGCAAATGTTTTGTGAGGAAAAAGTACACACGAAGAGCACAAGAACATTAGTCACCCAACCTAAATTACCAGCAAATTGCCCAAGTAATCACGTCTCAGGAGTACTGAATTAACTGCGCGACTACAGTGGCCGTGGCCCTAAATTGATAATAAACTTCAGCCATTTGCAGCTTGAGGTAAAATGTTACGTTGCCGGAAATGTGACTAGGATAGAGAAGCACAGACTCCGCTCTCCAGCAAATGGCAAAGGCTGTACTTTTCAGGTTTCCATAAACTACTGTGACTTACAGACGTTGACAAATTGACGTTTTACGTAGAAAGCGTAGTCTATCCATGGTTCAGTGTAGTGTCATTAATTGTTGTTTAATGCTGCATTAGTTTGTAGAACCTTTCTATGGCGGTGTAGATCTGGCGACTTCAATTGCTGTGGCTTTAGGAAATATTAATCTTACATCCTTTCGTCCCACGGAGGGAGGACGACCTGACAGAGGCCGAAATGTTTTTGTGGCACATTCATATAGCCAATGAGAATAAAAGTTCGCTGGCGTATCCAAAAAACATTTAAATGATGTGCTAGTTCACATTTAACGGCACATCCAACAGTGGTAAATTTTCTTGTCTTCCTAGTGTTGCTCCGTCAGACTACTAATACTAGAGGAATGTAAAATAAATGTTTTACTATACAACACGACAGAAGCATATTATTATTTTTGTTATTAAAATATCTTGTCGTTATAGTGAGACTTGTGTGTGTGTGTAGGGGGGGGGGGTAATAATACTATATTTCCACACGACTCGACTTACAGATCAGGATTCGCCACTGGTAAGTACTGGCTCCAGATTGGCATTCAATTTCCTAACAAAATAAACTTACTTCACTGTACGGAATTATATTCTTGCAATGAACTCCAAAGTTACGAATAATTCGCGATAAAGGAATAAAAATTGCTTTCGGGATGAAAAGATTTACCGGTTTTAAAATGATAAACACATAAACTACAATACAGAAAGTTCACTAACCACCAGTTTCTCTATAAAATTGATATAAAGTACAATAAGTCTAAAAGCGTTGGATCATTGTTGATAAGTTAAAATTAAGGTATGGGAGGTGAATTCTGGAATAAGTATAATTAAAAACACCTATGGGCTTTATTAGGATAAATGGTCTGAAGTTTTCAATCGTAAATTTGAATTCATTAAGATGAAAACACATACATTTTATCTTTGAATTAGTAGGGATACACTAGTACAGACAGAATTTCGAATGCAAGCTTCCAGCCTTACCCGTCCGGGTTCATGAACAAAAGAATGCCAGTCAACTGATCGTTAGTTACGCATTTTGTGATCTTGTAGACAACTCTGCGGTAAGAATTATCAACTAAGACTTACGTGGGTTCCCCGTCGCAGGGGCCATTGGGCTCTAAGAGATTGTTCTTTGGGATATTATCTTCGCCGCTTCTCACCGCCAAACTGCAGAAAAAGATAATAATAACGTTTCAGTACACACAATTATGTAGATTTACGGTTAAAGAACCCTAAACACTTTCGTCTTCAATTATTGAAGTTTTAAATGTCATTGTTGCAGCTTTATATCACACAGGTATAAGTTAATTTTCTGGTGTTTATGAATTTGATGTATCCATTCCTCCTGGAAAGTAACCCTTTTCTTAAATTCACAGGTTTCCATGACCACGATAAATACATTTATGTCAAGCAGCATATTACATAAAATTAATTTTCATGGGTCGATCCCCCGTCCAAGCAGTCCTATTTAATGTCTAAAGGATTTATGACTTCAAAAATTATAATGAATCGAACAGGCCAGAGGGCATCAATATTACAGAAAATAAAAAGAATTTAGGATTCAAATAGCTATGAAATAATTTTAGTTATTCAAGTCTATTTTTATGATGACTCAGCACAGCAAACTCTTTCTTGAAACTGCGTGCGTAAAAATTTTTAATCACTTAAATTTCGCTGAACAGTTTTATTGTCACGATTTTAGTTATGCAAATAACAAACAACCCCTTGTTACTCAAAACCCCGCAATATACTATTTTCTGACCTCCGGTAACATATGGGCTTTAAATAGGGTGTTTACGTCTGTAACAAAATAATTTATATCAAAGTATGACAGTGGTCAGTGTAATGTGGAAAAATGGCAATATGAGGCACCATATTCAAAATGTGACGAAAACAGTAACATACAAAGCAGCATAGGCTTACTTCTGGGGTGTATGAAACAAGCTTACTCACGTGCAGTTAAATATAGCACTAAGAAATAAGTAATTACGATATTACATGAAAACTAAAAGGTATTGAAAACTACAGACCAGCATCTCAGTAAATGACCATTCGCGGTCCCATGTTCCGACTCGGCTAAGCCAATCAGTAGCCATACCGAACATTTGCACTTATTTCTGAAATATCCTGTAAGTAATACGTCTGTGCCACAGAAGATTCAATTTAAAAGCTAGTTCTTATGTCTAGCTGCTTGCATAAACACAAAATAGTTTCTCACCGCTTTGAAACCCCAAGTTAATGTAAAGAATATTATAAAATTAATTTCTACCACAACAACACAAAGCATCTCCATTACAAACACAAATCGGTTCGTGCTGATTAAGGAAATAATGGATATTTATTTCTGAGAATTATATGTAAATATAAGAGCCGGGATGACTCAGTCAGTATAGTGACTAGCTACGGGCTGGGCGATCGGGGTTCGATCCCCGACGGGGGGGCAGAGAATTTTTCCTCTAGCCTCTGCGGCCAGACCGGCTCTGGTGCCCACCCAGCCTCCTCTACAATGGGTACCGGGATCCTTTCCCGGGGGTAAAGCACGGCCTGGGCGTGATGCTGACCACTCACCCCCATCTAGTGCCGAGGTCAAGAAAGAGTAGGAGCTATACCTCCACTCCCCCCAAGCGCCAATAGGCGTGTAGTGGGACGCTTTACTTACTTTCTATATGTAAATATAGGCCTACGTAACACTTAGCACTGTGCTAAAAGGGTAAAAGTAACTCATAATAATCTTAAAGGATTGAGTCATTTTGTGTGGGTAGCAAAATACAAAATAGAAGCCTACGCCGTCAACACAACTAATATATTATAATGTTAAAAGTACTGACGGTGTATCGCACTATTTTGTATCCCACAATAACTTTCTTGCCTGTTTGTAATTAATCACTCTCACACTGCCTACAAAGTTTGGTGTTCTTGCGTGAATGAAACGTACTTGGAAGCTTCGAGAGTCGTGTTATTAAAGCTAATTACAGTGTGTGGCAGGCTTAGTCGCTTGAAATTAAAGAAGTAAATTACAGAGTTCTTAAGAAAGAATCGAGCAAGACAATTCAATAAAACATATCATTTAACGTTTCTACAATAGGCAGATATGTTTCTTACTGACACTAGTGATCCGTATTTGACTAAATTCCACACATCAAAAGATCATCACTTCGACTGCCTCCATTTCTTACTTATACCTGTCGTCAGGGATAGGGCACTTCAAGACACTAATAAGGTACCTGGCTCCCATATCAACCGACACAGACTGCAAGGGAACGTTGCGGCTGAATAGTTGACACTCCTGCTTCGTAATCAGGAGGTCCCCACTTCAAATGTAGAACAGTAGATAGGTTATCCTAATGACGTTTCTTATATTTTCCTCGGTCCCTCCAAGTAAATACCTGGTAGTTCCTAAAGTATGGCCACGACCGCTTCCTTCTACAGTCTTTCCAATTCATCCCTGGTTAATCTTACTATGACCATTTGCTACCCATAATTTTAGGTGATGATAGAGTTAAGTAAATCATATGTAAATGAAATGACACCGACTATCCTGAGCTTTTCATGGTTCCTCGCAGTTACCAGACAAATGCCTTGCTGAAGAGATAACGTCCCGCTTCCACGACTTCCTTCCCAGTTCCTCCTTCACAGCTTCAGTATCAAGCTACCATCCTAGATTAATGGACAGCAGTCATATTAACAACCGTTAACAGACAGAAATCGTGGCTTTTGCTAACTCGCGAAGAAAGTTACTTCGTAGAAAAAGGCTTTGACTAAAAAGGAAAGGAAAAAATCAAAACCCCCCCGAAGATAGAGATGACAGGATCCTCCGAAACTTGGGTGACAAACCATAAGACTACATGGTGTCATAATCCAGAAGACCGTAATCGAAAAACGGTATTTCTAATTAGACGAAGCAATCATGATGAATGTAGATTTTTGTCTTCTGGGTTGTTGCGCTGTGTAGTCTGGCAGATGTATACCAACGTTTCAGAGGTCATACTGTCTCCGTCATCAGGGCGATGAATCGCAACAACCCAGAAGACAGAAATCTACATTCATCACCGCTGTGAAAACCTCAAATCATGCATTATGAATGCAGATTTTATTTTCAAATCTTAGTGGATGTTAGAAGTAAATTAAAGAGTTAAAAGTTGGCACATCAAGCGGAATGAAAAAGTACTTCCTTGTACATAAAGTTTAACGTGATGAAGTGAACTGTATATGGCTTAATAATCTTGTTTACAGCAGACATACAGTTCGATCTATCAACGTCGTAAGACAAGATTCTGAGTCTGATATATCACGGCGCCGCTCTCCTGATATGAACGCTGACCCAACACAGTTTTTATTCAGTAGGCACCCAAATATGCGAGATAACTCGAGCATGTTCTTTCTTATCAGTTCATATAGTATGTAGCGGATCTGTATATAACCAGTGATTAACAAATCAATTCGCTATAAGATAACAATTATATTAGCCAGACATTTCCTCTTACTGTTTACGTACTAACAGCAGTACACTTTAAAATTTAGAATATAAGTCACAAAGGAACATTTTTGATTCACTTGTTCTTTTCCCCTGTCAGCCTTCCTTTTGCAGTATTATGCCCCTGAACTGTTTTTTATCTGCCATGACGCCACATCAAATCAAAGATGAAGATGGCTATCTTCTGGGTTGTAATGCAGTGTAGTCTGATAGAAGTTTACCAACGTTTCACGTTTCCATCATCAGGACGAAAACCTAGGAGACAGCTATCTTCATACTCGCCGCCGTAAAAACCTCACATCCCAAAAAATAAAAAATGATTACACACTGCTCAGGCCTCAGGGGCATGTGGCAGACTTTATCCTTGAATTTCTACAGCGCACTTAAAAATATAACCACAAAATAGCTATAGATCACATAGATGTATAAAACTATGCACGCGCTTCCAATTATTTGTAACAGAAAAATTCCTTGTCAACAGTAAATAATAAAGTCACTTTTCAATTAATGGTTGTAGATGTAACTTCTAAAGAAAACAACTGAAAAGGAAGAACTGAGCAAAAGCTAATTACAACCTGTTCTCATAGGAGCTGTCTTCCAGTTGACGGCAGTGAATACAGGTGCCCATTCACATGGCAGTCTCTTCAGGAAATGTGCCGTTGACATCACTGTCGACTTCACTACGCACACATCAACCATTTGTATACAAAATCAAGTACTGTTGACGGCATATTAAAACGCCGCGAAGGTGAACAAACATTTATTTTTCTTGTTTCATATTTCTACTTTTTGACGATTATTATCTTCTATTTAACGTTATTTCTCTTTTTTTATTCATTAAGTTGTTTGCTCATCGCTCCAGTTTTGCCGCCCTAGGCGACCACCTATTGCCCTTTGGTTAAACCGGCTATGCGTGTGAAGTGAACGTTCATAATCGTGAAACCGTCCGAACGTCAGCAACTAAGAAGCAGACCTCATGGTCTGTGAAATTTCATAAATAAAACGTCTTATTTATGCTGTAAACAGCCAGGGAAATAAGTTTTAAGAGCGTCATAAAAGACAAACACAGAACGCAGCAAAGCAAAGAAGAACTTGACCACACAGGTTGATCAATCATCCGGCATATGACATCAACATGTGTCAACATTTTGGAAACAAATGACCGATTACTAGAAATCTAGTTTTATGTGTTGTCATGACAACACCAATGTAAAAAAGCACCTCTCAAAATGTTTGGCATTTAACTGACTCCACCCTGCCCAGAATTTAGTTTCGTTTATTTTTACACCTTTTTGTCTCTTACTTCTTCTGCTGGACTCATGGGTGTGATGATGTTAGAAAGTCACTATCAATAACAAACACTGTAGGAAGCGGCACCTACCAGTTTCATGTTCACGGCGTTCAGTGAGTTATTAGGATAGTCGTCCAGAAATTCCCGCTTTATGGATCGTCATAACGAGTGTGCAAACTGGGAGCACCTGGCACAATACAGGGACTAGTAGCGGGCTATTATGGACGTGTTAATGAACTTTAGTTTCTAAAGTTAATAAGTTTTATATCAAAGAAACAAACCACTGCACCCTACACGGAGCCTCAATCCCATTTCGTAACATATTTTCCTAGATTAAATTTAATATTGAAGATGATTTATTCTGGGTTGTTGCGCCGTGTAATCTGGTGAAAGTTTACAGAT